GCCTGCTTCTCCCTCTCCCACTCCCCCTGCTTGCGTTCCCTCTCTCACTGTGTCTCTCTCTGTCAAATAAATAAATAAAATCTTTAAAAAAAAAATGGAAGAACATATTAAATTAAACCATGGGGACATAACCGACTGGCGGAAACAAGCTGAAACAAGGAAATTCTATGGGGCAAACAACCTGGTTTCTCCAAGAAATAAATTTCAAGGAACGAGAGGAAAGGAAAGGGAACATACATATATATAAAGAGATTTAGGAGACATATTATCCAATTGCAATGTATGGGCTTTCACTGGATCCTGATTCAAATAGACTGAGAAAATGTAACAGGGAAATGTGAGCACTGATTGGATAGTCAAAGATATTGAGACATTTTTTATTTTTCTAGTTGTGATAACGATATTGTGGTTAGGATTTTTTGTAAAGAGTCCTTATGTTTTAGAAATGTGCACTGAAATACTTATAGATTAAGAAAACTGATGGTTGGGATTTGCTTCAAAATAATATGGAGGGGAGAAGCTGGGTAGGGGTGTAAGTGAACAAAGATTAGCCATGAATCAATGATCACTGAAGCAGGATGAGTACATGAGAGTTCATTATTCCAGTCACTCGACTCATATATGTTAACAGTTTCCTTAATAAAAGATAAAACAAAAGTCAGGAAAGGATGTAGCTAGGCATGACTTCAAGCAGCTGAGACTAGTACACGTAGCCCGGGGCTCTGGTTTTTCCCCACGGAATAGCCTGAACTCTCCAGAACTTTCACAATCTGGTTTCACTGCTCTAATGTGGAGGCGCTCTGGTGACTCCAGGGTGAAGGAATCTCCTTCTCCCGCCTCCTGGCAACATGCAAGGACAAAACCCCATTCCTGTGAGGGCCTCATAATCGCCCACCGGCGGCCCCTGGCCCTGTGTGCCCTGCGCGGTCTGGGTGGAAGGACGCTCTGGGAAGGCTGCGGAGCAGAGCGGCCTCCCAGCCCTTCAGCGGCAGGCCTGGGGAAGGGGACCCCGGGAAGCCCCCGCTCCAGGGGCCCCAGGGGCTGCTCTCACCTTTTAAAATGTAGTCCGTTAGCAAAGTGGGCACCTTCTCATTATCCTCCTTCATGGCAAAGAGAACTAGGGAAGGAGAGAGAGAGAGAGATGAGCCGAGATGCCAGCAGGGCATAAAGCTCATTTCTAGGGAGACAACCCACCAACCCAAGAGTGAGAAATGATTCAACAAAACCAGACATTCACTGAGTATGGAGCAAACGTCTAGAAGCTTCTGTCAAGCATCAACATTCCACATGCTGATGGAGTAGAATACATCCAAAAAGTCTGAGTGGCCTTTTGGTGACTTTATTTTCTTTTATATTTTACTTTTTTTTTTTTTTTTTGCTCATCTGTATCTCCACATTATTTCCTAAGTATCTATCTTTAATAAGCATGAAAAGAAATAAAGCAATTTTAAAAAGAATCAGCTTTCAGATGCAATCTAAATGTTAAGAATAACAGTCATCACATTAGCCTTCGGCTC